CAAATTTTCTATTTACTTTCACCCCTGCTGTTTAAGGTTCTATTTCTGGTTCCTGCTTCCAGCTGTCAGGATCTTGAAGCCTTCTCCAATGCTTGCCAGGAGAAACAGGTGTGGAGTGCGCTTCCTTTGATTTCTCTTCTTGGAATCAATGGCTCCCTCTGCAGTCCTTTTAAGAGAGACTAAAGTGTCTCAGATCCTCTGCCATTCCACCTTTTCTTCTTTCCTTGGGAGGGAGGAATACAATAGGTACAAAAGTTTTGTCTTACCTCCACCTTCCACTCTTTTTCTACATACTCAGGACAACTGCGTTTCCTCTGTTTGGTGTAAGTCAAGAGAGACTAAAGGCTTGAATACGCCTTTTCAGAATGCTTGCGGTTAACCGGGTCTGTTGTGGTAGCTGTGTATGGCTGAAAGTTAGTGAGGACTCTGGGCTCCAGCTTCCTTCAAAAGAAGAATAAGAGGGTGATGATAAAGTGAAGAGAAACTGAGAGACTTGTGGGGAAGAAATGTGCGTAGGAATTTTATGAAAACTATGGGTGGAGGAGAAAAAGAAGAGTATTTTCAGCTAACTGTGGCTATTATCTCAAAAATAATGAATTAATAGATAGCCAGGCCTAAGAACTAGTTTTAAGAAAATGTGAACAATGTCTGTGGGATTTTACTGGGGCAGTTTGCTGATTGTTTTCAGGAGTCTCTTAGTCAGATGTATCTCTTTGAATTAAGAGGAACTACGCAGTAAAGTGACTTTTACTTTTAAATGTCAGGGAAAGCTGGAAATTGATATTACTTTATCTGTTTTCCTAGAATTTTTAGAACACTAAATAAACTACGTAGCATTTTCTAGCAAAAAAAAATAATATTAAAACTGCAAATTTCAAAGTGAAGAATACAGATCACTGATCATGAAATTGTTTAATAACTGTAGGCAAGCAAAGGAAAATCAGAGGCAAGGTTCTGCAAAGACGAATGCAAAAATTGCTGCACTGGATCAGGCCCTTGGAATGAATTTATGTGTAACTTCCCCTTTCACTTTTCCATTTCTGGCAATGAGATAATTTTTAAAAAAACTGTCTTCTATTGTTTTGTAATCCGCCAATACACAAATAAATCTTCATCCTTCATAAGGATATATAAAACTTAAAGTCCACAAGGACTTGTGAAATTTGGTGTTGCAATCTATGTTTTTACAACAACTAATTTTTTGCCTGCTTAATAGTATATTTTCCAAATAATTTTAAAGGTATTTTTCTTAGACCTTTCCACACTGAAGTGTGGGTTTTTACTGGGTTGGGAATTTGGTAGGGGTTTTTTTTTCTCCTATATATTACCTCTCAACATTAAACTGAACCTGCTCCTGTGTTCCTAGGATTGCTGGGAAATTCAGGTTGGAAGGTCTCTAATCTCACCTCCTGCTCAAAGCAGGGTATCAGCTATGAGGTGAGATGAGGTTACGAGGGATTTTATCCAGTCTGGACTTGAAAACCTTGAAGGAAGGAGACTACAGAACTTCCCTGGGCTATTTGTTCTGGTGCTTGACTGTCCTCATGGTGAAAATGAGTCCTCTTATGTCCAGACTGGACCTCCCTTGTTTCAACTTACGCTCATTGCTTCTTGCCCTGTCACAGGGCACCAGTGTGGAGAGCCTGACTCCTTGCTGATCTCCTTGTAGATGCAGGGAAGCTGCTGTTAAGTCTCCCCAAAGCTGTCTCTTCTCCAGGCTGAACAAGCCTAGCTTCCTCAACCTCTCCTCGTAGGGCAAGTGCTCTGGCTCCTTGAGCATCTTGGTGGCATGCTGCATCCACTTTATGGATGTATTTATTGTACTGGAGGACCCAAAACAAGGTGCATTAGACTGTATCTGGAATAATAAGCACTGAGTGGAGGCGATAATCAGTTCCCTCATCTACTGGCAAGGCTCTTAATAAAGCCTGGGATACTGTTGACCTTTCCTGCCAGGGTACACTGCTGGCTCACGATCAGCTTGATATCTGCCAAGACCTTTTCCACAGAACTGCTCCCCAGTCAGTGGCCAGCCTGTATTGTTGCCAGGGGCTCTCAGGTGCAGGGCTTTGTGTTTGTCCTGTCTGAATTCATACCATTCCTGTAGCATCCATTCTGCCAGCCTATCTAGGTCCATCTGAATGGCAGCCCTGCCCTTGGACATGATGATTGAACCTCTTCAGTTAAGTATTATCTTAAAATTCTGACCAGAGTACACCCTACCAGCCTTTCAAGTCGTTGGTGAAGTTATTTAATGCCCTTGTCCAAGAGTAGACCCCTGCAGCATCCCACTTGATACCAGCCTCCAGGTAGCATAAAATCCAGTAACGATTATCCTCTGAGCCTGACCAGCCAATTGTTTCCTACCAGTCTAGTTGTTCATCCATTCTGAAAAGACATCTAGCTCACAAATACTCAATGTCTTGAATTTCCCATGTCCTCGTGTCTTGATGCATTTTGTTAGCTTTTTTAATCAGTGAAAACCTACCAATTAATCTGTATTTTGTGTATTGAACAGCTTCCATGTTTGGAAGTACTTTCTCACTCTGTGATTAATTTTCTTGGTGAACTTCTTGTGAGAAACTTTGTCTAAGGTACATGAAGCCCAGCTCTTTTTTTTTCAGTGCTGATATAATCATACCATATCTTCTTCAGGTTTTTATAATGCAGATTTTAGTCATTTCAGATACTTCTGCCTACTGTCTGAAGCAGAGCAAGCTCATTAACATTTCTTAAAGTAGATGGGGGCTTCTACTTGCTTTAAAAGAGATTATGTTGAGACCTACAATCTTGTTTCTAGCTCAGGTATTTTATTGTTCTTAATTATTTGCCCATTTCTTTGAAATGGTAATTTTGATAGATATGCATGCTAGATGACAATGTGTCTGGAACACTTCTGTCACTAGCATTCTTCACATAAAATTCATAGTAAAGCAACAGTTTTATTGGCAGTGCTTCAGCAATTGCCTTGTCCTGGTAGTGATCAACTAGATGTTCCCGTTCTCACTCAAATTTCTTGTTTATGATCCAATAGGATAATTTCCCATTCCTTTCTAAGTTCTTACTGGTTTTAAAATCATTCCCATTTTATACTTCAGGTTTTATTATCTTTCTTTTTCTACAGCCTTATTAAATTGAATGTCTATTTTATATGGGAATCTTGTTAGTTTAGCACTATACATGCTGCATGCAGTTCTTTACTCCCAAGGGCTGTATTTCATCTTTCTTCCCAGTACTGGCCACAAACTGTTCCCTTGCTTACTGTTCATATGAATTCTACTCGTCTCATACCAGCAACAGGATAAAATACAGGATTTCAGGTTGTGCAAGGGTAACTCTTAAACGTTTACCCTCACTCACAGAACCACGCTGTTTTGCGATGTGGCTACAGATCTGTAGCTATTTTACCAGTTGTCACACTTGTGTTTTAACACCCGCAACAACAGAATTAGTCGAACAAATACCTTTTTCTTTAGCTAGATGGTTTTGGATCCAGATGTTAGAGCTCTTGAGAATTGGATATGGACTGAGGTACAAATAGGTTTCAGTGTGTCTGATATGGTAGGAATGTATAAAAGTCTTGAGTTATTTACAAAACTGTAATGCAAAATTTTCTTGCTTTCAAACATTGCTTTTAAATGAAGATCCTGTTTTGACTGTGGGTCTCATGGGTACATGTTTACAAATGTGGAATTACCTTACACCGATTTGATTGACTGTCTTCTGGATGTCATTACCACCAGCCATCAGTTTCTCGGTTCATTTGTGATTTTGCTTGGGGCTGTGTCTGTGCAGGCGAATAATGTAATTTCTGTTATCCTTGTTACATGTCAATATGCAGTTAATGTTTTTTCAGTATTTTTGACCTGTCAACAGGATCAATGTACAGATGAGTAAACTTGACCCTTTTGGGGAGAGGGCAGGGGCAAAAGGGAAAGTGGCTGCTGGGTTTTGTTTGGGGTTTTTTGGCTCCTTCAAAGTCTAACTAAACCATGTTACCTTTACTGACTGCATAGCGCTTCTCTCTTCTCTCTAGTTTAATGTAGTGGATCATGGATTTGTGTGTGATTATGATTTAGTTGCTTTGTTTTATGGCTTATTGAGTATTGCGGTGTGGCCTGTTTGCTGGCTTCAATTGAAGTAGAGCATTGCTAGCTGTATACCTGGATGTTTATATAAAATACTAAGTGCATGTGTTGAATTTTTGTATAAAGAGGATTTTGCTACCTGCGCAAGAAATTCTGGCCAAATGAAGTAATTAAATGAAGAGTGTGTAATTAATTAATGATCAACTATAATGTAATTCTTCTTTCCGTCCAAAGAAATTACTGAAAATGTATGCTAAAACTGTATTTTAAAAGCAAACAATTAAACAGAAAACTTCCTTAGTGCCCTTGGAATCTCTTAACATGTGAGCCAAAGGAAATGCCTACCTTATGTTGTCATTGGAACAGCATCTATTTGAGGTTCCCTTAGGCCTCTTTTTTACCCTGCTAAGTAAGCTATGCGTGTGCAGTGAAAGTCTCTTTTTCGTATAAAAGTTATTTTTCACAAGAAGTACTCAACTTTCACAGCAGTTTCTGTCTGTGGTTAATAAGTTTCTTTGAAAATTCTGATTTTTCTCCAGAGTTGTTGATAGACATAACCTTTTTTAAATTCCTGCTTTTATGTAAGGAAGAAGCAGTAAAAGCCGTACTTACTCAGAATGACGAAGGAATCCCTAACAGAGCAAAGCTTAGAACCTAGATACCCTGTCTTCTGCTATAGCCATTAAATCATTCTTTTTCCCTTGTAAGATTTTCTGAAAATTGTGCTATAAAATGATACTATAGCAATGGGGTTGGAGATGTACGGATGTTGCTAAGAAACTATGTGATCTGTTCTGGACGAGCCACTGTGGTAAAGGGGCTGTCTTAAGTTGTTGCGTATGGAAAAGGGCCACTTTAGGTGATGTGCATTTTGCTCCACCGATTTCTGACCTGCAATGCTTGCCTTTGCAGATGGAACATGAGGATTTTGTAATGGAGGGGCATGGCAAGACTCCACCTCCTGGTGAAGAAAACAAACAGTGAGTCACACGTTTATTTAAAAAGGGCCTTACCATAGTAAATGGTGTGAAGCACTCTTGTTTAAATGTGCTGGGAGCATTGGTTGTTCGTTTGGTGCTTGCCCTTTTGGTTCCTTAAATATCCATATATAATAGTGGATGGTGGCTTAAAAAAAAAAAGCAGGATGTTGACTTGCCTAAAAGCATAGAAATATGCATTGCAATTTCAGAAGGTAATTCAGAAGTTGTTGTAAAAGGGATAATCATTCTGGAAGCTTGGCACTGAAGTAGTGAATTTGTACATGGAGTTTTTATACAGCTCTTCTTCAATGAAATAATGTGAAATATGACAGAACCACGGCCTTCTTTTTGGTGTGGATATAGTAGATTTGTCCTCTGAAATATAAGCCTTACTCCTTTAGAATGTGTTTTAATAAAGGAACAGAAATTGTAGACAAAATACTTGTTCAAGGACGAACAATTTGAGATGCTGGTATGCAGTGCTTTAGGAAACAAGCTTGATCAGAGAAGAAAATGATGGATTTCCATTAGCAAAAGGCACATATGGCTTTTTCGTATGACTTCAAACTGAAATCCTGTAATCATTGGGGTTTTTTCCTGGGTTCTTGTTCAGATGGGAGGAACAGAACCTTGTCCTAGAAGTGTTGCAGTGATGGTTGTCTTACGTATTCTTTTCTTTAGGTAATGCAATTGTAATTCAATTTTGATATCATAGTTAATTTTTTTCCTGATCTGCCTTTCAGAGCAAGCGAGAAGGTGGTCTTTGGGAAATCCACAGCACAGAACTTATGCCCCCCCTTATGCCTAGTTGGATGTCTCCTTGTGAGAAGGAGGAGGTTCTTGTTGATCAGCAGTACATCTGTTGCAGGAAGGCTGGGATTTGACTTGGGGTGAAGGTCTTCCCTGCCTTCTATTAAGTTAGCAATTGTAAGCAATTGTGAGAAACCATTTCTGAAGTAGCCAAGATGAGTTCATGGAAGTTCTAGTGCTGAACATGCACATTCTTTGCATCATGGAAGTGAGCCAAACTTCTCAAAGTAATTGCTGCTATTTCTTTCTATTCAGACTGCCCAACTTACTGTGGTACCAAGAGATACAAAGCTTGTTGAAGCAGAAACTTTCAGAAAGTTCCAGAAGAAAAATCAGTACAGAAATAAAAAGTAGGAGTTAGATTTCTGCTCTTCTGAATTGTTTCTTATGATGTCTATTAGTATAACGAAACACATTATTGCAGTGAATAATCCGAGGGATGTTGTATTGGATTTATCATAGCACTGTGTTTGCTGTCTTATTTTAGGTGCAAGTGGAAGCTAGAATTACTTTACAGTTGACCTGAATTCTAATTAGAGCTTTCCGAGTCCCTCACAACATTCTCTCTCTCTCTTCTCCAAAACTGTGGTTATTAGAAAGAGAATATGAGATTGGTCATAGGTAGGATTTCTATTTTTTTAACTAATAAATTTATGTTCAAATGGCATCTGGGATCTTGTCATACAGACCCTGCCTTAAGGAGTATAATTCCTAATAATGTTGTTAATAATATTTTGATAAAAGTCTAAAGGTGCAATTTTAGTAATGCAACTAAGATGAAAATACTTGTTTTGTGCACCTGTGTGGGTATTGCTCTTAAATTTAAATCAATCACTTCAATCTTTTTCTACCCACAATCTCAAATTTTCAACTACCTAACAAAATTGTCTGCCTTCGTAGAGCTTACCTATTGCTGTAAGTGACATTGATCTGGCATGTGAGATAAACAAATGATAATCACACAAAGGATCAGTAAATTGTATTCTTAAGTGACTCCAAAAAGCTGCATTGATTTCAAATCTTTTGCTGTAGAAGTCAAAAGAAAAAAAATAAACACAACCCAACCTGAAATGCTCTCTTCATATTATTACTTATTTGCATTAGGGGTTGGTTGGACATCCTGGAGTGGATCTGGTGAAGGGCCCCAGAGAGGGACTGGAGGACACGGGAGGAGAAGCTGAGAGCTGGGAGTGTTTAGCCTTAAGGTCAGAAGGCTTGGGGGAAGATCTTATCCTGCATAGATACCTGAGGAGGGGGCTAGGGAAGACTGAGCCAAACTCTTCATGGTGGTGCCTGGTGAAGAGGCAAAAGGCAATGGGCATAAACTGAAATACAGGAAACTTCACTCAAACATAAGGAAAAAAGCCCTTTTTTTGGTTGTGGTTTTTTTTTTAATTGTGAAATGTGGTCAGACCTTTGGAACAGGTTGCCCAAAAGCGTTGTGCCTTCTTCATGCTTTAAGATACTCAAAACCCAGCTGCACACAAACTCAACAGACCATAGTTTGAGCAAAGGGGTGGGATTGACAATCTCAGAGATCCCTTCCTTCTACAATGATTCTGTGTACCTGTGTTTACTGGTGTCCTTCTAATTGTTTTGAAATAAAATTGGAGCTTGTTAGTGAACAGTAGATCATAAGTTTGAATGTAGAGTGAGACATTCACTACAGAAATAGCTGCTCCAGCTGAAGATGCTTCCTTCTCTTTCCAGCTGTTTATCAGACTTCTTAGAGTTTACTGCCTCTACAGCTATGCAGATGAGACTTTTTTTTTTTGAGTGCTTCTAATTTGCTTTCCTGAAAAGTTGGCTGTGTTAATTTAATTGCCTTTCATAGGCATCCTGATCTGGGTAACACTGTACTGAGATTGCTGAGGAAGTAAGTATTCAGAAGATACAGTTTCGGTAACTGACCTGGGTTGGGAGCTAACTCGCATCAGGGTGCTGGAGCACTCTGCAAGTCTTTTAACTTTCTAGGCAAGCCCAGCAATTTCTTAATATTTAACTGCATTCCAAGGGAATTGGAGTTTCAGTGGGCAATGAAAGAACAGAAGCCAAAAGGTACTTTTGAGAGATTTTCAATGGAAGTTGAAGTTCTTACCCAGCCCCAGTTTCATGTGAAATTTCCTTTGCTGAAGTAATGGATTCATAATGGATTATGAGGAGCCAGCATCCATGGATGACTTCTGGCACTTTATATCTGAAATGCAACAGAGTATTTCAACTCAGTTTGACTCAGGGATAAAAGCTTGGCATTGCAAGAGTACTTTCTAGTATTAAAAAAAGAAAAAACAGAAAGCCAGAACTTGCATCAGTCTTACAAATCTTTCTTTTGCTGTACTGAACATGTCTTTTGGGCAGACTCACTGTACTAAAGTTGTAGCATTTTCAGATTTTTTTTTTTTGATCGAGCTGTAGATTATACCAGAGAACTGCTGGCTGCTGATATTTGTCAGCTTTGTGGGGAGCACTTATCCTGTTAGACTGTGTACAAGGTCTTTAGAAATCTTCAGTGGATCATTTAAGACATTAATAAATTTTATTTCAACCGAGGCTAGTTATGAAGTAGTTATTAATTCAAAATCCTTAGGACAAGTGAAATATGGAAATATGAGATCTCAAGTCCTGTGAAAGATTTGCAGCTTATGCATGGTGCTTGTGTCACAAAACTGTTGTGGTTGTTGCAGCAATGAGGGCTGCCACTTACTCTAAAATTACTTCAAAGGAAACAAGCCTGCCTGGGCTACTGGAGCTGATAATGGCCATCTTGGACCATGCTTCTACTCTGGGAGAGGACTGGTGGACTCCTTGAGAAAGTGTTACTTCTCAGTTTTTAAGTATGCTGTAAATTCCTCCCTCCTCTCAGCTCTCCAATAGGTGCTATAACTGTTTGTTACACTTGGCCACATTATTTTGTGAAGTGGCTAATATTTTTGGTAAGAAACCTCTCTCCGTCCATCCTGACGGAGAAGTCTGGGGAAAGACCAGTACCATTGTGTTTAATTGCAGGTGGTCGTTTTGTTAGAGGCATTTCTCATATTTTCATCCATTCTGAAGAGGTTGACCTGAATTGCCATGCTTAAGGAGTAAATATTATCTCCTCCCAAAATACTTAAATTTCACATGGCAGTAGCTTCTTGCCACCTTACCAACTGTAATAGAGCTTTTACCTTTTCACTGCTAGAGCAAAGACTTACAGGCAACTTTGATGCAGAAACATCTTTCCAAAGCAGTCAAGTTGATAAGCAGAGAGCAGCTTCTCTTTGAGCCTTTTTTGGAGTAGGAAAAAAAATTCCACTCAAGTCCTTAAATTGAGGTTGTGCTTCTAGTTCTAACAGTATTAATTAGCAATTCTGTCTGTGCTAATAAATTATCCTCTGCTGTCACCATCATAAACTTATGCACCTTGATGTACTAGTGAAAGGGATAGTGCAAGGAAAAAATACTCCTTTTTGCAAGAAAAACGTAAATGTTTTGCTATTCCTGACTGACACATGGAAAAGTCTGTTTGACAGTAGCTATTCAGAGAAAAAGTGAGCCAAGTTCATACTCATGTTTATTAGCAAGGTAAGCCAAGCTATTACTGCTGTCTAAAGTAACTCAGCTAGCTGTTCCCCACCTGCTGTTTTGTAGTAATGGGAGGGAAAAGTCTTCAGCTATCTTGGCAACTTGTACAACTGGAAGTGATTCATATTGTAAGAAATGTAGGAAAACAAGATCACTTCCATAATTTATAAAGTGTCATTGGTTAGACCTACTGGATAGCCTTTTCCTCAGCTTGATGGTTTAAGGTATAGATTCCGAGGCAGGAGTTCTTAATGAGACTCTCCAAAACTGCAGTAATGCCAGGAAAAGATTGCAACCAGTGCGGATCACGAAACCATTGTTTTGAATTTGGTAATGTTGTCTTACATTTTTCTTTGACATTTCCACAGGGAATATTCAATCTCTTCCTGGATTTGTGTGCCACTACAATTAAAAGAAAGACGTAGCTAACGTGGTCTAAGATGAAAACAGGAATCATAGACTAATAAAATAATTTCGGTTAGAAAGGACCTGTGAATGTCATCTTGTCCAATCCTGCCCTCAAAGGAGGGCTAGATTTGAAGATTAGATCTAATTTCTAAATTGTATCAGGCTTCTTGGGATTATTCTAGAGCCTTTCTGGGCAATCTGTTGCAATGCTTGATCACG